CTGTTCTGCTCCCCGCTCTGTCTCTGGTGAGGCCTCTCACCGCCCCTGCACCCCAGTTCTGTATGCACAAATAAATAAAAATCTGGAAAAAAAAAAGGTCTAGGCGCTGGGAACTGTCTCCAGGCCTGTGTATCTGGGCATACACAGACCACACCAGACTCCCTGAGAATTTCATCCCCGTTTCATAGTAGAGTCTGGAAATCCACCTGCAAGATGGCAGCTGGGCGCCGATGTCCTGGCTGGGTTACTCGGGCTTTCTGCTCTCGCTGAGGCAACAGACAGGACACAGAGCAGCCCTCGGCTCTGGCGCGCGGCCCAGGGACCGCCCCGCGCCCGCCCCGCGCCGCTCACCTGCCCCTTCTCAACCAGCAGCTTCTCCAAGTCTTCGATCTTGGCCTGGGATCTCAGCAGGTCAGCTTGCAGCTGCTCCCGAGTCTGGAACAGAGAAGACCAGGGCCTGGTCAGGCTGTCCTGAGGGGCGGCGGAGCAGAAAGGCCGCGGCCTGCTGCGGAGAAATGCAGTGCGCAGCGCCCGCTGACCGGACAGGTTCCCGGCGCCACCCACAGCTAGAATGTGCCTGAGCCGAGAGGCCTTGGAAGGTCGTCTCTGCGCTCAGGCGGCAGGGGAGGACAGGCCTGAGCCCTCAAGAGCGGTCAGAAGCGGGTTTCCACCTGAGCACGCCTCGACTGAAATGTGGGTGCGAGTAAACCCCGCACTGGAGCCGCACAGCCTGCTCGAGGTGCACCCCTCGAGGGCCACGGCAGGTCAGTGCTGGGGTGCTAGGTGCTCTCCTCCCATCACCCCCACTTGTCACCTCCTCCCTCGTGGGGCCACTGTGGGAAGAAAAAGGGGCGCGTGCAGGGTAACGTGCTGGAATCAGTGGGTGTGTTCTTTTTTTTTAAGATTTACTTATGCACACAGAACTGGGGTACAGGCTAGAGGTGTCGGGGGTGAGAGGACTCCCCAGAGACAGAGTGGGGAGCAGAGCAGGCAGATCCACTGAAACACACTGCTGAGGGGAGCAGTGGGGAGACGGGGCGGGGTCTGCTGCGCCCTGGGGTCACTCCCTGGCCAGGGATCGAACTCGTGCTGCGGTGGCTGTGGACAGCTTCACAGTGAAGCCGCTGCGCCGCCAGGGAGGCCCGTCCGTGTGTTCTAAGGGCGTCGCCTCTCCGTCAGGAGGAAGAGCAGGCAGGCCCTGGTCAGCCCTTGCCCTGGGCTGAAAGCACCTTCTGGCCCGTACCGGGATTGATCACTGGAGCGGACACCCCGAGGCCCAGACGCACCTGCTGCCCCCACCTGCTGCTGGCACATCGCCCCGGGGCTGGCCACCTGCCTGTGTCCATCCAGCCGCCCCGGGGGTGTGAGGGTGGCCAGCCGGACCCATCAGCCACCGGCTGTGCCCCCAGCCCACCGGCCCGGCCCGCAGGCCGCTGCACTCACCCGGGCCTCCCGCTCGGCATCCAGGGTCCCCCCGACCTGCTCCTGAAGCAGGGCGTAGGCCCGCTGCAGCGCCTGGTACTCCCGCGTCAGCTGGCAGAACCGCAGGTCGGCCTCCTCTCTGGTGGTGGCCTTGGCGCCGAGGGAGGGAAAGCAGAGCCCGTGAGCGCGGCCCGACGCGGGCAGAGACTGTGGCCACCCCTCACCTGCGGCCGGTGGTGGCGCAGGGCAGCCACAGGAGTGAGCGGCCCGGACGAAGGGCGCCGGGGACCAGGCCTCTGTGCCACCCGGGCTGCCGGGGCCCACGGTGCCCCAGGTGCGAGGGAGACAGGCCAGAGCACCCGAACCAGGAACCCCAAAGGCGGCAGGAAACCAGTACCCGGGACCCCACCCCACATGCACTGTCCCCTAAGGTGGCCACCCCAGGCCTGCACAGAAGCGCTCCGCAGCCCTGAGGCTGGAAGCCCAGCGGGCCAGGCCCGCCCGGTAGGGCCGTGTGTGCCCGGAGGGGCTGGGCACAGCGCCAGAGGGCTGCTCTGGCCCGCGAGCCGGCCCGAGGCGTCTTCCAGGTGCGCAGAGAACTGCAGGTGTGAACCCTGCGCGGCCCTGGCAGAGGCCGGGAGTGTGCTGGGGTGAGAGCGGGCGCCGCCTGCTCCTCTAGCAGCCTCCGCCCCACCAGGCGGTGCGTGTGCTGGCGCGGTGGGTGTGCGCAGGCGGGTGGGCGTTTGTGCGAGTGTGGCGGTGCTCGAGCGTGCCCGGGTCAGACTCGGGGCAGCCCAGGGACCCCGTAGTGGCCGCCTCTTCCCTCTGAGGTCAGGTGGGGGCACGCCGCGAGCCGCCCCACGGCCTCCTGCCCTCCCTGGCGCCCGGCCGAGCGACCCGGGCCCGGGGGTCGGCCCCAGCGCCCCTGTGGCCCGCTTACATCGTCCAGGTCCTCCTCGGGCGTGGCGGGGGCCCGGTCCGTCCTGTCCGTGTTGCAGGACGTCTCCGACAGCGTTTCCGAGTCCACAGACTCCTCGTCAAATCCAAAAAATGTCTCCACAACATGCTTCTGCAAAAGGCGACAGGCGGGCTCGGGGCTGACTCGCCGCCCGGCGCCGGGGAACGGGTGGGGGCGCCCGGGCCTCCCTGCAGGCCGGTGGGGGGGCAGGCAGGGGCACGGCACAGCCCTGGCCCCCCGGGGCTCCGCCAGGCACCGAGACGCTCGCTGCCCGCTCAGCGCCCCACCTGCCAATGCCACTGAAGCGCGTGGACGCGTCGCCGGTGCTCGTCCTCCTGGTGTCTGGGCCCCAGCCTGAAGCCCCGCGCCCTCTGCCCCTCGCCCCCTGTGGCCCCACCGCCAGCCCAGAGCCCAGGGCTCTCACTGCAGCCTGGCCCAGCCGCCGGCTCCGGAGAACTGCAAGCGGCCGGCCTCCCTCCCTGCCCCCGCCGGCCCTCAGTGGGGCCAGAGTCTGCGGCGGCCGTAGGGACTGACGTCCCGCCGTGCTGGCCGTCGCAGCGCCTGAGACTCGGCTCCCCCAGAACGGCCAGCACCCTCATGGCAGGCGAGGGCCGCCCCCTGGGCTGCGCACACTGCGGCCTCCGGTACCTGGCGCGGGGCGCCGGGCTCCCAGACCCCACGGGGCTCTCTCCCGCACTTCTGAGCCTTTGCACAACGCCACGTGCCAAGCCGCTTCCCTGACGTCCACCCAGTCCCTCCCGCCCCGGCCTCCCCCCGCCCCCCCCGGGCTGTGGGCCCACCGGTGGATTCGGTTTGCACAAGACAGCCCTCAAGCACGCAGCCAGCATCACATGGGGCTGAGGCCCGGCGAGGCTGCCGGGAGGTGTGAGGACCGCTGGGCCCCGGGTGATGTCCCCCTCCAAGCGGAGGGCACCCCCTGCCTGCAGATGCGAAAACGCACTCAGGTCCAGGAACCAGGCCCGGAGCGGCGGCCCTACACCTGGGTGGCAATGGCCCCTTTGGGGTGGCCAGCTGGCAACACGCATGCACAGAGCTCGCCCCCTCTCCCCCCCCCGCCCCCCGGCTCCAGGCTTCTCACCTTGGGCAGCTGCTCTGCGCAGCGGCCAGCTCCTGTAAACAGCGCTAATTGCCTGGCCCCTGGGGACAGGTCTGTTTGTGGTGCCACTGGCAGTGGGGAGGGGGGGCTGGCTCGCCCAGAGCGTCAGCCAGCTAGGCCTCCCGCAGCGGGGCTGCGTTCACCCCATCGGTGCCGTGCCCCTTTCTGGGGCGACCGACTCGGGGTCCTGTGACCCAGGATGACCTGCCGTTGAAGCCCCCGGGGCGGCCAATCAAGCGCCCAATCAGCAGCCCCATGGGCAGTCGCGCAGATGCTGCCACGGGCCTGACCACGGCCGAGGGGAGCCCCCAAGTCACAATGTGGCCCGAGGCCAGACTCGGTGACCCCCACTGCGGGGGGCGGCAGACACCAAATGCGGAGGGGGCTCAGAGTGGACCCCACTGCCACGCTGGCGTCCAGGCCGTTTGCTTCAGGGACAGCTGCTGCCGCGTGGCTGCGTGGCTGCGTGGCCGGGGGTTCCCGAGCAGAGCGCGCTCCAGACCTGTGTCCCTGGTGCTCCGGAAGACGGGGAGACCTGCTCTTGCTAGAGGGAGTGCGGCCATCTCCCTAAGACACGACACCCCTTTACCCTCCACCTCCCTAAGACACGACACCCCCTTACCCTCCACCTCCCTAAGACACGACACCCCCTTACCCTCCACCTCCCTAAGACACGACAC